TCCATCAGGGACTCTCTGTTGTGTTCCCTGCTGAGAGAATTTTTAGAAAAAGAAAAGCAGCACCTGGTCTTCCCCACTTCGACTACCTAGGTCATTTGAGTTTTGAGGAACGATGATCTGTAAGAAAACCTGCTTTTACCTACCGCCAGGTAATTGGTCTACATACTACTGGCAAGTCAACAATGATACGTGCGGGTGGTACAGGGCCAGAGAAGCCTACTGAGTTAGACTAAAGAGAAAACCCGTGTGGGAGACCTGGGTTCGATTTCCAGCCAGTATACCTCATGCACAGCCACCACCTGTCTGCCAGTGTTGGTTTGTGTGTTATGATGCTGAACCGGTTTCAGAGGAGCTTCCAGATAAGAAGAAAAATCAACCAATGAAAACCCTATAGATGACAGTTGTACATACTGTCCTCATGAGTCGGGGGTCGACTCAACGGCAGCTAACAGATATAAAATGCTTGGAACAGTGTCTGGCAAATTGTAAGCACCATGCGTTAGTTGCTGCTGCTGCTACTACTATTACTATTAATTATTAAAATTTTCAGCTGTCAAACTCCATGTAGATTCTCTTTAATGCGAAATGATATATTGAAGCTTATGTGAAAAGCTCGTAGTGCTCAACTTAGAAAATAAAAAATAGTATCTTCCTTAGAGGACCTTGTTGATGTTAGTTGCTGTTGAGTTGATGCTGACTTACGGTGACCCCAACACAGCAGTTCTACTCTCACCTTTCAGAAGCAGATCGCCAGGCCTGTCTTCCAAGGTGTGTCTGGGTGGGTTTAAACCACCAATCTTTCGGCTAGTAGTCGAGCGCTTAACTGTTTGCGCCACACAGGGACTCCTTGAAGGACCTTAATTCTTTTTTTTTTTTTTTATTGTACTTTAGATGAAGGTTTACAGAACAAACCAGCTTCGCATTAAACAGTACATGTATTTGTTTTATGACATTGGTTAACAACCCCACGACATGTCAGCACTCTCCCTTCTTGACCTTGGGTTCCCTTTACCAGCTTTCCTGTCCCCTCCTCCCTTCTAGTCCTTGCCCCTGGGCTGGTGCCCCCTTTAGCCTCGTTTTGTTTTATGGGCCTGCCTAATCTTTGGCTGAAGGGTGAACCTTGGGAGTGACTTCCTTACTGAGCTAAAAGGGTGTCCGGGGGCCAGACTCTCGGTGTTTCTCAACTCTCTGTCAGGCCAGTAAGTCTGATCTTTTTTTGTGAGTTAGAATTTTGCTCTACATTTTTCTCCAGCTCTGTCCGGGACCCTGTATTATGATCCCTGTCAGAGCAGTGAGTGGTGGTAGCCAGGCACCATCTAGTTGTACTGGACTCAGCCTGGTGAGGCCGTGATAGTTGTGGTCCATTAGTCCTTTGGACTAATCTTTCCCTTCTGTCTTTAATTTTCTGCATTCTCCCTTGCTCCCAATGGGGTGAGACCAGTGGAGTATCTTAGATGGCCACTCACAGGCTTTTAAGACCCCAGATGCTACTCTTCAAAGCAGAATGTAGAACATTTTCTTTATAAACTGTGTTATGCCAGTTGAGCTAGATGTTCCCTGAGACCATGACCCCCACAGCCTTCAGCCCAGTAATTTGGTCCCTCAGGGAGTTTGGATGTGTCTATGGAGCTTCCATGGAGGACCTTAATTCTTGGAAATATTCTCTGTCATGGTTGGAAAGCCTTCTTCTTTGTCATTGGGTCTGGCCAGGGTGTAGGAGGGGCTACTAACTTGCTACTTTCCTTCCAGAGCCCCCAGAGGGCCTTTACCACCAGGGATTACTTGAAGTAGCCATTGGTGTTATGTGAAGTGCAATTCAAATATTATAATAAAATTGTGTGTGCTTGTGTTATATTTAAAACCTACAGCTTCTTAAGAAAAGTCTGTTGATCAAAGACAAGGTGACCCCAGGTCTCAGAAAGGGGATTGTCCTGGGTTTTGTTTCTTAAGACCTTTCCTTTACCCCCGCCATCTTCCCCTCCACATATCCTCATCTCATGCAGTTTGAAGGTGGAACTCAAATTCATTCTTGGTATCTTTGCTGAGCCCTGTATCATTCATGGTACATCCTCTTATCTAAACTTGTAAGACCGTTGGGTCTGTATCACACAGTTTAATGCTGTTCACTAACATTTTATTGACAATATACAAATAGAGTTCAGTAAAAAGCCTGGATCATGAGGCAGTATGATTTATGCACCACCTATTTTGTCTCATTTAATATAATACAGTATCTCCCCCATCTTACAGAAGAGGAAATTGAGGCACAGAGAGGCTAAGTAAAGTCACATGTATGAACCCAGATAGTCTGACTCTAGTGCTGGAATCCCTAACCCCATTCAGTGTACAGCTTCTTGCTAAAAATGTATAGTCTTTGCTGTCTTCCCACATATGTTAGCCTTGTCTTCTCAAGTAGATTATAAACTCTTACAAGCATGGACCATATCTCATACTTGTTTATGGTGTGTACCCCCCTAGTTCCTAGGGTGGAGCCAGGAGCAGGCTCTCCCGATGGGACAGCTGCTATAATTGCTTGAATGCTGTGAGTTCAGATTTTTCTGAATGTGGACTCTCTCCTGGACCAGCTTCAGTTCTTGCCATAGTGTTATGCTCTGTCCTTTCTTAATGTTGGCAGCCGATTCCCTGCTGTACAAGCAGCAGCCTCACTTCTTCCCCCCCATTGCCAGGGAACATTTTTTCCACCCAGGAGCAAACAGGAACAAGTTGGTATTAGCAGAGTGTCGTTGTTGTGTGCCATGGAGTTGATTCTGACTCATAGCAACCCTATATGATGGAGTAGGACTGCCTCATAGGGTTTCCTAGGCTGTAATCTTAAGGGAAGCAGATTGTCAGGTCTTTTCTTCTGCAAAACCACTGGTGGGTTCGAACTGCCGACCTTTGGGATAGCAACCGAATGCTTAACCATTGCACCACCGGGGCTCCTTATCGACAGTGTAGCCCCAGGCAAATCCAAAAGTTGTCCTTTGTCCTTGATCCTCCCTGTCTTTTTTGCCACACCCAGTACCCTGTGCTGCCCCACCTCCACTTGGGGTCCCACCTGGACCTGGGCTCTCTGAGCAGCACCTGCTGCTCTCAAACTTCTGGTGCCCATTTGGTGATTAAAATATGTCCTGCCCTTTGACCTTTGTCCCCTTTCCTTAAGGCTTCTGATAACCACTAATCTGATAAACTAAGTCAGGTTTATGGTAATCCCTCCCTTATGACAGATTTCATTTTAAATGGGACCTTCAGAAGATAATTCCTAACTGTTCTGAAAAGATGGCCAGGCCAAGGAAGAGTTTGGTTGAAAACACCCTACCTGGGAGGCAGGACTTTGATGTGGAAAGGACCCAGCAGTCTGGGTAATCCTGGGTTCAAATCCAACTCAACCCTTATTAGCCATGTGACCTGAGCAATTATTCTTTTCTTTCTCACTTGCTCTCTCTCTCTTTTTTTCTTAAACAAACTCTGGCCAGTTTCATCAAAGGAAAAAAAAAATTGCATGATTTGTTTTTCACCACTCTGTTTGTTCTGGCATGTTTCTAGTGATATCGGAATCATCTGGATCAGTGATAAGCAGTGTGCATACTGTGCCCAATTCAATATTATTGCCACTGCAGTGATGGACACCCAACAGTTTTGGTCAGCGAGGCTTAGTACTCTGTTTCAGATTTGGGCAGTTGTTGATAAGGATGACCAGTTTCACTTTGCCTTGCCTGATTGTCTTCAGAGTCTGCTTGTACCCCAGGACGTACTTTCCACTTTTCATAATGAGTTGGAGCCTAGAGTTGATCAACTCCAGCGACTTTTTTGTCTTCTTTGTGGCCACCATCCTCCTGCCTTATGTGTGGGCCAGCCCCCAACCAAGAGCAACCACCAAGATGGTTGGGGAGGGAGAAAAGCAGGGCAACTTTTCTAAGCCTCAGCTTCTTGTCTGTTAAAATAGCACAGTGCCTGGCACAATAAATATTGACCCAGAGGATAGTTCTTGAATGATTACTCTCTCAAGGAATGAAGATGCGCATATTATACACCCAGGCCCCTTGTAGCGCCTCGGTAAATGTTCCTTTAAGGTCTCTCCTTCCCAGGTGACCTCCTTCGCCGTATGCTGACCTTACACATAGGTCTGTCTGTTATTGTCAAATTAAGAACAAAACTTCTGTATCTTGTTCAATTTTCAAATGTTCTCAGTTTAGAGTTTTTAAAAACATTTTTTATTATGAAAGATAGCCTGTCTATGGAAAAGTGCATAAAGCATATATGTACAATTTAGCAAATAACTATAAAGCTGTTACCCATGCAGCCGCCACCCTCGTCAAGAAAGGCAGGGGCTGATGCAAAGTGGTATACGTATCTAACATGATGGTTTGCAGCTGGGGTGATTCTGCCCCGCAGAGGACATTTGGCAATGTCTATAGATGTTTTTGGTTGTCACAACTAGCATCTCGTGAGAAGAGTTGCTCAACATCCTGCAGTGTGCAGGACAGCCCCCCACAGCAAAGAATTATCCAGCCCAGCATGAGAATAATGCGTAGGTTAAGAAACCACAGTGTAACCCAATATTATCCATTATGCAGGAAATGCCTGATTTTGAGAAACAGTGCTTCAGCAGGAGCTGGACTTTTAGGAAAAGAATTGGATGCTTAAAAAATCGATTCATTTCAAAATAGTACAAATTATGTAACACATTATTAATAATGTTATCCCACTCAACTAATTGTTCTCTGAAAGAAAAAAAAGAGGGCCAGCCAGAATTATATGAAGTTAATAGACCTTGCTAATCGCATCAATCAGTTTGTATTCTTTCATTCCCGCCAAGGGCTTTTAATCTCCCGTCAGTTTGCACCAGTCGTGGGAATCAAATGCTGTACAAGTTAAAGGAAGCCAGACGTGTTCCATTGTACTATTAATTAAATTGCGAAACGACTTAAACACTGTACTGTTTCCAACAACTTATTCCAGCCTTTTGCACTTCTAACTCTGTCTTTAATTTATCGCAGGATTTAGTCATTCGTATTGTCTTCATTCTTGGCAACCTGACAGCGAAAAATAACCAAGCTCGTGAACAGTTTTTTAAGGAGAAAGGGAGCATCCAAACGCTGTTGTCGCTATTCCAAACATTCCACGAACTCGATCTGAATTCACAGAAGCGGGTGGGTGACAGAGACGCGCAGGCCAAGGCGCAAAGGCAGCCCTCGGGCGTGGAGGACGTGCTCATCAAGCTGACGCGCGTGCTCGCCAACATAGCCATCCACCCGCGCATTGGCCCCGCGCTGGCCGCCAAGCCGCAAGTGGTGGGCCTGCTGCTAACAACACTGGGTAAGATCCGCGGCGGGTCCCTCTCCACATACACAGGCCTTGGGGTGGTGAAGATGTTCTTAGCACCACTGGCTCCTTAGATGATGTTCTTAAGGAGCCCTGGTGGTGCAGTGGTTAAGCGCTTGGCTGCTAACCCAAAGGTTGGCAGTTCGAATCCACCCAGCAGCCCCGTAGGAGAAAGACCTGGCAGTCTGCTCCCTTAAAGATTACAGCCTAGGAGCACTTTATGGGGGCAGTTCTACTCTCTCATATAGGGTTGCTATGAGTCGGGATGGACTCCACGGCAGTTAACAATGAGGCTTCTTAGCTCAGTGAAGGGAACATTCCTCTTCTGTTCAAAACTGCTTCAAAAGCAGTACAAATAAAAAAAAATTTTTTTAAGAAAAAAGTAATTAAGATCATTACTAAAAACCACGGAGTTGTACACTTTAAAAGGGAGAATTTCATGGTATGTGAATTACATCTTTTTTTTTTTTTAAGTAAAAAAGTAATACCGATCAAGTTACCAAAAATTGGCTGAACTAACCACAATACCAGAAAAAAAACCAAACCCCTTGCCATCGAGTCGATTCCAACTCATGGCGACCCTATAGGACAGAGTAGAACTGCCCCATAAGGTTTCCAAGGAGCACCTGGTGGATTCAAACTGCCAGCCTTTTGGTTAGCAGTCATAGCTTTTGACCAGTGCACCACCAGGGTTTCCTTGAACTAACCCCACAGAATTTAAAGTCCCAATTTTTCCCTGGGTTAGTCCGCACATTCAAGTGTATTTGTTTTTCAGGTTTTTGGATTAACTGTAATTATAGCCCGCAGCCACCCAGGCCCCATCTTCCCACACTTGCACATTTGAGGCCTTGTCCACATTTGAGGCCTTGTCACAGGCACCTCTGCCTGCTGGTGTGTGAAGGAAATAACTGCAATTCAGTGTAATCATCTGAGCCACTACTTACCAGACTCTGTGAAAGACTTTGTTGTGGAAGAAACTTTAATGCCTAATGAAAATGGTGTTTTTGGGTAACCTGTGAACTTTTTTGCTGTTTAATTTGTAAGAGCCATTACTGAGTCCTTACCCTACAATCAGCATGCAGTGTACTGTATAATCAAAGGAGCCCTGGTAACACAACAGTTAAGCACTCAGCTGCAAACCAAAAGGTTAGTGGTTTAAACCCACCCAGCCACTCCTCGGGAGAAAAGACCTGGCAATCAGCTTCCATAAAGATTACAGCCTAGAAAACCCTATGAGGCAGTTTTGTCACATGGGATTGCTGTGAGTAGGAATCGACTCGATGGCAATGGGTTAAACTATATGTTGCAGTTTAAAAGAATGAAGTAGGATGGTAACTGAAAGGTCGGTGGTTCAAACCTACCAGTGGCTCCTCGGGAGAAAGATGTGGCAGTCTGCTTCCATAACGATTAAATCAAAACAAACCAAACTCACTGCTGTCAAGTGGATTCGAACTCATAGCGACCCTACAGGACAGAGCAGAACTGCCTCATAGGATTTCCAAGGATCGGATGGTGGATTCGAACTACCAACCTTTTGGTCAGCAGCCTAGCTCTTAAACACTGCACCACCAGGGCTCCCCATAAAGATGACCCCATGGGAGCAGTTCTGTTCTGCCCTGTAGAGTCACTATGAATTGAAATCAACGTGATGGCAATGAATTTGTCTGCTTTCCAGGAATGTCAGTTGACAGACAAGAACTACACAGCATATGAAAGTGACAGAAACAAAGTGCACATGGGGTATAAGGACTGAGGGAACGGAGCCACCCAGCCCATTTTTGGGATGTTTGTGTGTAATAACAATGCTTTGCTTTATTATGGAGCTTTATAGTTTAAAAAGCGCTTTCATACCCATTACCTCACAACAGCTGCATGAGGGTGGGTTGTCATTTTCACCATTTTACAGACAAGGAAACAGGCTTGATGAGATGAAGTGACTTTTATAGGTCGCAAAGTTACTAAGTCACCAAGCCCCAAACTCATGCTCCTCTGTTCTACATGTTGCCTGTCTCGAGAAGGGCTCCTAAATTCTGACTGAGATTCACCCCCATGACTTGTCACTTTCGTGTAATAACTCAAAAATCTATACATTTGGTCTTGACCTCTCTTCCAGGTTGCTGATTGCATATTAAATTGTCTGCTAGAATCTGCATCTGGTTGTGCAGTGGACACTTCAGACCCAACATGTTGAAAGTACAGCTGTTTACAAACCTATCCTCCTGTCTTTCATAGGCAGATACAGAATTCAGCCTCAGCCATCCCCTTCCCACCCTTCTGTCCAATGGGTTTACTGTATGCTGCAGTTTAAAAGAATGTAGTAGGGCGGTAACTGAAAAGCCGGCAGTTCAAACCCACCAGTGGCTCCGCAGGAGAAAGATGTGGTGGTCTGCTTCCATAAAGATTAAATCAAACCCATTGCCGTTGAGTCGATTCCGACTCATAGCAACCCTATAGGACAGAGTAGAACTGCCCCAAAGGGTGTCCAAGGAGCAGCTGGTGGATTTGAATTGCCAACTTTTTGGTTAGCAGCCTATCTCTTAACCACTGTGCCACCAGGGCTCCTGCTTCTGCCCGAACAGTAGTGTCTAATTGCCTGGGCGTTGTCTGTCACACATGTTGTCTTTTTTCCATCCCTGCCCCCCCCCCATTTCCCTAGTTCTGTCCATGCCTGGGCTGATCCTTTCCTCTACCCCTCCTTACAAGTTTCCCTCCTCAGCTCTCCTTCCAAATCATGCCATTACCGTCTGCCCCATCACACACGACGCTAAATGTCTTCTCCTTGCTCAAAAGCTTTCCGTGAAACTCCTTGACTTGTAGCATAAAGTCCAACTCCTTGACTTAAAGTCCACCTTCTCCACAAATACCCTCACTAGAAGCAACTTTCTGTCTTGTTTTTCTGTTGTTGTTTTGATTACATCTATTTCCTGACCACATAGCAACCTTGAGGGGCAGGAACTATTTTTTATTCACTCTTGTATCCCTGAAAGAGCCTAGCAGAGTGCCTTATTCATAGCGATATTTGGTAAATGTTTGTTGAATTCAGTTGGAGAAGATGACATTTGAAGTGGCTGGGACTTTGACAGGCAAAAGTCAGAGAGAGAGAGAGAATGAGATTCCAGGTGAAAGCAAGATGTGCTACAAGGAGTGTTCACCAAGTCTTGAGTCAAGGGTGCTAAAACAGCTAGAAAGTTCAGTGGAGGACCTTGATTCTTCACTGAGGCACCTGATCATTATCCTTGGAGGGGTACGAAGATATGTAGGGCCCACATCTTCCTAATTAGCAGAGCTACCAGAGCCCCTGGGTGGTGGATATAGTTAATGCACTTGGCTACTAACCAAAAGGTTAGAAATTTGGGTTCATCCAGAGATGCTTTGGAAGAAAGGCCTGGCAATCTACCTCCAAAAAATCAGCCATCGAAAACCCTATGGAGCACAGTTCTGCTCTCATGGGGTCATCATGAGTTGGAATCAACTCAACGGCAGCTGGAAACCAGAGCTACCGTAAGTGGGCCTTGACATTTTTGAAATTCAATTTTTGAAACAAGCTCAAACTTTGCAGCATTTAGGTTATAATATTTCCATGTCTTTCCATGTTCCTTCCTACCCTGGAGGCTCAGCCCTTTAAGGCGGTGCTTCTCAGCCCATGGCCCGGGAACCAGCTGCCTCAGATCAGCTGTGGAACTCATTAAAATACCCTTTCCAGGGCCTTATCCAGAAACTGACTCAGTGGAATGAGTTGAGAGTCTTGGAACCTGCATTTCAACTCTTCCTTTGTCTCCAGGTGATTCTTGTTCCCGTTAAATGCTGAGACCCAGTGCTCAGGGAACCGTAGTTGTTAGCCTCTGTGACAGGTGAGCAACTACAAAGTTTCAACCAGAATGAGTTGTCATCTGCTGCAAGCTCTAGCGCTGTACCTGGCAACAGCGACCTAGGTGGGGCTAAGTTCTTGGATTGGGGACATATCCTTGTGAATGGCCAAGTTAAGGAGTAGAGCTATGCCTGATTCATTTTCCTACAGTTGTTAATATTCACTTGTGAAGTGAAAAAGTTCCTGGCCTTATAACAGTTTTATGAGCTTGTAAATTACATTCGTACCTGTAAACTAAAGGTGGAATCAGTAACTTGCTTTTGATTCCCAAGAAGGTAATACCTTTTGGATAGGAGAAAGAGGAAGCAGATTAGGCTAGAGATAAAAAGATTACCCCAGGGGGCCTAGCTCCGGCCCAGGGGGTCTAGCTCCGGCCCCCTTGGCCAGAGTCCTTAGGAGACTTTGGGGCCCGTCGCCTTCATGCCTTCATCACCATGTTCTCTTGGAAGGGCAGATGCCCAGCCTCTGTCATTTGGCGATTCGCATGGGAGGTCTCTCCAGTGTATTTTCTTGAGGTTACTGGAACTCAGGAGTAGCTTCCTTTTTTAAAAAAAAAATTTCTCATTCGAAAATTTATACACCTATTGTTTTGTGATGTTGGTTGCAATCCCCACAATGTGGCAGCACATTCCCCCTTTCCACCCCAGTTTCCCTGTGTACATTCGTCCAGTTCCCTGTCCGTTCCTGCCTTTTTGTCCTGCTTTGGGACTGGAGCTGCCCATTTGGTCTCGTATATTTGATTGAACTAAGAAACACGTTCCTCACATTTGTTATTTTTTGTTTTATAGTCCTGTCTAATCTTTGTCTAAAGAATGGGCTTCAGGAATGTTTTCAGCTCTGGGTTAGCAGAGCGTCCAGGGGCCATAACCAGCCTCCTCTTCTTGACCAGTGAAGCTCTAATCCAGTGGTTCTCAAACTTCTTTGTGCGTAAGAATCACCCAGGAGCTTATTAAAACAACAGATTCTTGGCTCTACCCTTAGAGATTGTGATTCATTAAGTTAGGTGTGGGCCTCAGGAGTGTTCTGCATTTTAAAAGCTTCCTGGCTGGTCCTGATGGAGGCATTCAAAGGCCTCACTTTGAGAAATGCTTTGATCTCTGCATGGTTAGAACTCAAAACCCTATGAGGTTAAGCAGAAGTTAAGAAGACCTTCTTTCTGGTGGCTGGTCAGTGTTCTCTAGTCTACCAAGTCTTGAGCAATTGTTTGAGCAAGATGGGATCCCTTCTCTATTCTATCCCCTAAAAGTTTTTTAACTCCCCAAAGAAGCTTCTAGGAGGGTAAAGACAAAAGATCCTCCACCTCCACCTTCCTTGTATTCAGCTCAACTGCTGAAGTAAATTCTCTGAGCCCTACTAAGCCCTACTCTCTTATTTACCTAGTGCTGCTGTAACACAAATGCCACAGGTGGGTGGCTTTAGGAGCCCTGGTGGCACAGTCGTTAAAAGCTATGGCTGCTAACCAAAAGGTCAGCAGTTTGAATCTACCAGCCACTCCTTGGAAACCCTATGGAGCAGTTCTACTCTGTCCTGTAGGGTCACTATGAGTCAGAATCAACTCCACAGCAACAGGTTTGTTTTTTTTTATTTTTTGGTGGGGGGTGGCTTTAAAGAACAAAATTTATTTTCTTTTCTGTAGGCTAGAAATCCAAATCAGGGTCTCTGTCGTGTCGATTCCTTCCTTGTCCGGTATCCCTGGATGTTCCTTGGTTCCTTGGCATTCCTTGGCTTGTAGATGATCTTCACACGGTGTTTGTGATCTCCTGTGTGTGTATCTCTGTGTCCTTTGGCTTTTTTTATAATTCAGAAGTGATTAGGTTTAGGATCCACCCTACTGTGGTATGACCTCTTTCACATAACAAAACAAAACACTTATTTCCAAACACGGTCACACTTACAGGTACCAAAAAACCAAAAACCAAACCCGTCGCTGTCGAGTTGATTCCGACTCATAGTAACTATAGGACAGAATAGAATTGCCCCATAGGGTTTCCAAGGAGTGGCTGGTGGATTCGAACTGCCAGCCTTCTGGTTAATAGCTGAACACTTAACCACTGCACCACCAGGCCTCCTTTTACAGGTACAGGGGTTAGGATTTCAGCACATATTTTGGGGGGGGGGCACAATTCAATCCATAACAACTGCTAAACTGGTCTCTGCTGATTTCCCGCCTGTTTTATCTGTATCAGTGTGAAGCAATGCACAGATCTGGGGAGAAAGAAGCTGGTCTTCAAAGGGCCTGCCTGCCCCTGACAGGCCTGGTCACGTACATGCAGCCCAAGACCAGCGCCAGGGCTGTGACTTTGTGATGCAGAAAAGGCCCGCTTGCTCACTGGTCATGTTGTACCCACCTACCTGAGGTCAAAGTAGCTGCCAGCCTATTTATCCTCCAGGCTAAGCACTCCTCCACCTGACCCCTCCTGCTGTCCTGGACACTCCCCTTAGCCTCCCTCATGGGAAAGGCATTCCTTGGGTCATCTCCCTTCCACCTCTCTCCAACCCTGACCCCCTCACAGAGGAGTTGCTTGTACCCCCGAAATTGCCTGTCTCATTGCAGAAGGTCTTCTAAAAATAAAAAAAATGTTTCTATAAGAACCAGCCCTCTCAGTGGGCCCATTTACTCGAGATTTGCTACCTTAAGGGCAAGCTCCATGTTCCACATTCTCTTACATCTGTGAGTCAGTCTCAGAGGGCAGTGGATTCTCTCATGCTCTTTGGAAGCAAATTATTGCCCCAGTGGCTCTAATGGACCCCTGGTGACAGTATGTCTTTGGCCTCAGCAGGGTGCTATGGAAAGAGCAGGACAGTAGAGTCAGGCCTGGATTCAGATGCCTGCTCTGTGAAGTCAGGCAAACTACTTAACTTCTCTGAGCCTCAGTGTTCTCATCTGTAACATGGGCTATTAGGATACACCTTTAAAGAATTAATTATTGGAGAGCGGACATTGAGTAACATTGTGCAGCTTACTCTCAGGGTTCACTGTGTTGAGAATAGACTTAGTGAGGCAAAGGGGGAAGAAGAGAAGTCAGTGAGGAGGTGAGATGTACTAGGGTGGTATTAGAGGAGGTGGTGAGAAGTGATCAGATTCTGCATGTTTGGAAGGCAGAGTTGATAGGAATTATGGATGGTTTGTGACCTAAGGATTGTTCTGTTGAGAGCTGGCAGGTGTGGGGAACAAATTCCAGACTCCCAGGGTGGAGGCCCTGGGAGAGCCCAAAGACTGGGCAAACCAGTTAGGGATTAGAGCTGGCTTCAGTTTACCCTAGAATGGCTCAGCTTTTTCAAACCCCCTGACTGGAGGGATTGAGCAAAGGGTGTTCTCTCTGCTCTGGCTAGGAGGGATCCCTGTGCGCTCGGTGTGTTTCCCTACAGGAAGAATCATGGGAAATAAAGCTGTACTTGCACAGCCCTTGCCTGGGAAGGTGGCTTGTCCCTGACCCTGCTGTTGCTGCAGTTGTGATGTCATTGGTTCTACCCCTGCCATGAGTCTTTGACACCCTTATCCTCACTTTGTTTCAGAATACAAGTCAATTGATGACTGCGAGGAGCTGGTGATCAATGCTACAGCAACAATCAACAATTTATCTTACTATCAAGTGAAGAATTCTGTAATTCACGACAAAAAGCTATCTATTGCTGAATGTAAGGTTCGGAGTTGGCCTTGGACAAATGAATGCTTGTTTAAGGTTTTGATTTTATTAACTAAACACAAAACTGGAGGCATTAATATTTTCTGACGTTTGGTCCAGATATCTTAGAGCCTGATTTAAGTCTGAGAATGAAACTGAAATTCTTTTTATGGGGAAAACTAGTTTTTTAGTTTTCTTGCTGAAGTCTCTTACGGTTTGTATTTTATTATCATTTTTAATTTTAAAGTTATCCGTATTTAGTATTATACTGATTTCTAGTAGCCTTTAAGTTAAAACTTAAATTCACTGATTTTATCTTTTTGGTAACCAAACCCAGTGCTCTTAAAGCTTCTGGTGAGTAACAACATGGATGGAATCCTGGAGGCCGTGCGTGTGTTTGGAAATCTCTCCCAATACCGTGATATCTGTGATTTCATTGTGCAGAAAAATGGTGAGTTAATGACACTTACATTCATAAACATGCAGTTCTTGGCGATAGTTAAGTGGTTTGGGAACTTGGGTCATCACAGCGTGGTAGTACTGGCTTCTGTTCCGGGATGTGTAGTGCTCAGGATGCCTAGATGAATCTAGGCAGTGTTTGAAGTGTTTGTCTTTCCCTGGTGAGTGGCCTTCTGAGTTCTGAGATGGGGGGTGTGTGTGTCTTAGGGGAAACAAGTAATCTAGACCCTTTATTTCCACCCATGGGAATGGGCTGAAGAGACATTCTACTTTATATGCTAGAATGTCCATTACAGTATTCTTGTAGTAGCAAAAATTGGAAACAACCTAAATATCCATCAACAGGCAAGAGGATGAATACATTACGGTATATTCATGCAATGAAATGTTCCTCAGCAGTTAAACTGGAGGTTCATGTATCAACATGGATAAACCTCAAAAACACAATGTAGAGGCGAAACAAGTGATAGGAGGATTTATACAGACTGATGCCATTAATTCCGACTCATAGCAACCCTGTAGATTCGCTGTGAGTCAGAATTGACTTGACAGCAATGCGTTTGGTTTGTTTCTTTGGAATGCCATTAATACAAGTTTTAAAACATGCAAAACACTCCTGGTTATTATTTATGTATATGCACTCACATGGTAATGGTATAAAGTACAAAGTGTACTTGGGAGTGGTAAACTCTACATTTAAGACTAAGGTTACCTCTGGAGAGAAGAGGGATGAGAGTGGGATGGGGGAGGGATGCACAAAAATGTAAAATTAGATCTGTAATGTTTTATTTCTTAATGACAGGTACACAAGTGTTTACACTAACCATATTCTTTGTATGTTTCAAATATTTCATGTAAGAAAAAAGTTATCCATGCCGATAGGAAATTTAGATAATACAGATATAAAAAAAGCAGCAGCAGCAGCAAACCATCACCCTCATCTTACGCCAGAGATAACTGTTGACATTTTGGTATACATTTTTTTATACTTTTCTTTTTTTAATATGGAACACTTCACGAATTTTGCGTGTCATCCTTACACAGGGACCATGCTAACCTTCTCTGTTTTTTTCCCGTTTTAGTATATGTGCTGCCAAAGTGAGCATTCTTTACACCCTTAAAACACATATGTGTGATGTAGCCTTTACCAAGCTCACTGCCCAACCCAGCACAGCTAGAAGAGGGTGGCCACTTCTCAGGTGCCCAGTGGAAAAAGAGGAGGCAGAGCACGTGCCTCATCCACTCTCCCCCAACCCTTTGCCCAACCCCTGCTGGATGAACTAGAAGACAGGACAAAGAGTTCCCAGTTCCTTCTTGTAGGAGTAAGGGAAAATACTCCCAGGGGCGGGGCGCCTGCTCCCACTGAGCCATCCCTGCACTGGAAGGCCTGCCGTTCCACAGGGCAGTTTCCAGCAGTCTGAGCGAGTCTTAAGAGCTGTAGCCCTAGAAGAATTCAAGGAAGCTCTTAACAGAAGCCTGACCCCCTGGGGCTGGGTATTTAACAGACCCTGAGGACAACCAGAAGTTAGAGATGAGTGTCACCACTGTGGTTGGAAGTCCAAAGTTCCCTCCTTTCCATGGCAGGGCTCCATCACTGCCCTGAAGAGGGAGCTGCTTTCTGGGTGGGATAGAGCAGTGTCTGGGGGCAGAGGGTCTTGTGGGGAGGTTCTGGAGTGCTGGGTGTTGAGGAACCCACTGATGGGTTAAGTCCACTAACAGGGTTCCCAGTTTTGCAAGTCACTACCTGTTTGTAAAACCAGAATATAGCTGAGACCCCTGAGAGTTCACTGGTTGGCATCTGTTCTCCACCATCCAGTACACAAGTTCATGATTGCACTGCTGGATGCTAAGCACCAGGATATTTGCTTTTCTGCCTGTGGCGTTCTCCTAAATCTCACTGTGGATAAGGACAAACGGGTCATTCTAAGAGACGGAGGCGGCATTAAAAAGTAAGTTTCAAGGCGTGGAGTCCTGACTCTTCAGGCTTCAGAAGGCATAGTTTTCTAGGAAGCTTGGGCCCTGATCTCATCCTTCCTCTGGGGCAGCAGTCTTTCAACAAGCTGGGCTACAGAGAATTTAGGGTCCACTGGGCACTTACAAAGGAGCCCTGGTGGTGCAGTGGTTAAAGCGAACGACTGCTAACTGAAATATCGGCGGTTTGAAACCACCAGCAGCTCCTTGGGAGAAACCACCAGACTGCTCCTCGGCCATCTGCTTCCATAGAGATTTACAGCCTTGGAAACCCTATGGGGTAGCTACGAGTCGGAATTGACTCGATGGCAGTGGGTTTGGGCACTTACAATAATTCAGAAGTAGATTATTGCTATTTGGTGGCTACTTAAATTCTTAGTAAATTATTTAAAATGATCACTGGATTTTATATAATATGAAATATAACAGAAGGATAATCATCGTGATGCTAAAAACATTAAAATTAATGGCAGATTCTGACCTAATAACGTCTCATTTTGACTTTTATTAACTCAGGTTAGTGGATTGCTTAAAGGATTTTGGTCCTACTGATTGGCAGCTGGCCTGCTTGGTTTGCAAAACTTTATGGAACTTCAGTGAAAATATCACTAATGCTTCATCGTGTTTTGGAGATGAAGACACCAACACACTCTCAGTCCTGTTGTCGTCATTTTTAGGTAAGGCTCCTGAGTATGAGAGTGTGAGTTTTATCAAAGTGAAATAATTTTTTCTTCTGTGACCAGTATGGGTAAAGAGGAGCCCTGGTGGTGCAGTGGGTAAGTACTCAGGTGCTAACCAAAAGGTCAGCAGTTCCAACTCACCAGCTTCTCCACAGGAGAAAGACATGACAGTCTGCTTCCATAAAGATTTTCAGCCTTGGAAACCCTACGGGGCCGTTCTACTCTGTCCAATAGGGTCGCTGTGAGTAGAAGTCGATTTGACGGCAGTGGGTTTGGTTGGTTTGGTATGGATAAAGATTGGTATGCATTTGGGCGGATGTAGCTCTACAAGCAAAAAGAACATGTTAAAGATTATTGTAATTTGGAAAGATTATTATCATTCTGGAAAAGGTACCTCTGTGATTTACAGTGTAGACACAAGGACTTTTAACCCATTGGGTACTGTCATGGTTTCTTCTATGACTTGCTTTTTTTTTGCATTTTCTGTAGCTGCATAAATACAGGATTTCAACATAAATATAGTGCTGTTATTTAAAAGTACACACTGTTGTGAATGAGAAAATATACCTGAAAGCTCCTCTGAGTTAAGTCATACTTTTAAATGAATTATACATTTTAACTAGCAGTTATATTATCATGTGGTGGTGATGGGATGTCTGTGAATGCCATGTGATGCATCCCTTTTGTGTGGCCTTTCTCACGTGGTCTTGTAACTCCCACCAAATGATAGAGTGGGACTGTGCAGATAAGGTAATTGTGGCCCACCAAGGGGATTGGTCAGTTTGTCCATCTTGCTTGGCTTAAAATGAAACATCCTGGAGGCAGAAGGAGAGGATCCCACCACCACCAAGGAAGAAGGGCCAAGAGTGGACAGCACATCCTTTGGACTTGGAATTCCTGCACAGGGATGCTCCTGCAACCGGGAGACTGAGAGAGAGAGAGAGAGGGAGAGAGCTGTAACACTGAAGACAGCGAGAAGTGGTGGCAGGAGAGACTGGCAGAAGTGACAGGCAGGAGACTGACAGGAGATAGCACAGTGGGGTCCCCAGCCCACAGAGGGAGAAAGCTGAGTGCCATCAGACAGGAGCCATGCTCGAGGAGTAGGGTGCCTCCAGGCATTTGATAGAGTTAGGTTTGCTGACCCACAGAGCTAGAGCTCAGCGCCTTCGGCTGAGGCTTCCTAACGGAGTAGGATGCCTCTGGGCACTTATCGGCAGAGCTAAAGAGCTTTGTAACTAACACTTGCCTGAGCAGGGCAAGAGCCTGAGGGCCAGAGGGAGTTGTGCCTGCAGGCACCTTCTGAGAAGAGGCTGTCCTCATGGAAGAACTATATCCTGAGCCTTCCAGAACCTGAACTGTAACCTGTTACTTCGCCAGTAAACCCCATAATTGTGAGTATGGTCTGTGAGTTCTGTGTGGCCATTGCAGTAGAACACAGCAGAGAAGTAGAGAGTGTCGTGGGAGGGACAGTTGGTATCAGAATTGGTAAAGATGACAGAGAGAGGAGGCACGTCTGACCTCCACCTCATGGAAATCAGCCTTGGGCTGTCAATCTTGATTCTCCTTCCCCTTCGTGAAGTTAAAGGAAGTCAGACAACACCTCCATGTCATTTTTAGAGTGAAACTATTTGACATTATAGTATAGTCCATATCTTTGAAAAAGCTGGAGCTCACTGATACAAAGCAAGGGAAGAAGATAGTTTCTTACATTAAAAAATGTTTCCATTATTATTATTATTTTTTTTTGATCCTGAGTTAGATCCAAAAACAATGATTTGGGCCAGTAAATGAGTTGAGTATTTTCAATAATCCTTTTCCCAAAATGGAGGCACTGTACCTTACCATTGCCCAACCACTGTGTTGAATCAGTGGGGGCAGTGTGGAAGGCTCACTGTGACTCACTGTGACTCAAATCCTGGCTCTCACTGGTGGTGGGATGTGAACAAGAGGCTCTCTCAGAGCCTGTCTTTTATCTCTGAATCGAGGATGATGATAATCCCTGTCCTGCCCCGGGGAGTTGTAAAAATCACAACAAGAGCATAATGGAAAGACCGGAGGCTTGTCATCAGACAGTTCTGAGTTTACGTCCTGGCTTTATCACTTACAAGGTGTTTGTCTTTTGTTTTTTTATTGTGGTAAAAATATATATAACAAAACGTTCACCAGTTCAACAGTTTTTACATGTGACATTGATTACACTCTCATGTTGTACAACCATTACCACTATCCTTTTTCAAGTAATTCTACCACTCACTATTAACAGAAACTCAGTGCCCCTTAAGAAATTGACTCCCCCTTTCCCCCACCTTTCCACCCTGGTAACCACTAACAACCTTTGGTCTCCATACCTTCGCTTATTTCATGTAAGTGGGATCATACAATATTTGTCCTTTTGTGACTGACTTATTTCACTCAGCATAATGTTTTCAGTGTTCATCCATGTTGTAGTAAATATCAGGATTTAATTTCTCTTTGTGGCTGAGTAATATACTTAAAAGTTTTTAAACTTTGGGCTTAACCTTTCTGAATTTATACTTCCTCATCTCTAAGATAGGGTAATTAATGTCCACCTTGCAGGGTTGTTTGGATGACTAAATGAGCAGATGTGTAAAAAGAGCCAAATACAATGCCTGACACATAGCAGGTTCTTGAAAAATTGTTAAGGTGCTTAGTCAGCTCTAAGTGCTGTAACTTCTGACAGAAGCAGAAGTTATTTGAAAAAATCAGGTTTGCTAGGTTCGTGTGAAATTTACTTTATCCAGGTGAATATAATTTTAAGAGTATGTGTGTGTTTTAAAACACAGAGCAAGAAAAATACGAGCATGATTTTAGGTCACTGAGCTTCGTGCTGTGCTCTATGAACATTAACCTTTCTCAGGTTAGGGAGCAGATGTACTTGCTCCAGCCAACTAACCAGTTGCCATCGAGGCAACTCCAACTCATGGCGACCCCATGTGTGTCAGAGTAGAATTGTGCTTCATAGGGTTTTCAGTGGCTCATTTTTTGGAAGTCGACCGCCAGGCCTTTCTTCTGAGGCATATCTGGGTGGACTCAAACCTCCCAACCTTTCTGTTAATAGCCGAGCATGTTAGCAGCTTGCACTACCAAAGTAGTGCACACTCACTCCACATACTCACGTTACCTCAGTTCAGTGATTCTCAACTGTGGCTGAGCATCGGAATCAGTTGTGGAGTTTTAAAAAACACACAGCCCTGGCCCCATCCCTAGGAATTCTGATTCATGGCTCTGAGATGAGGCTGAGAATCCGTGTTTTTAAAAAGTTCCACAGGTGAGTCTGGTGTACAGCCAGGATTGAGAACCTCTGCCTTGGTTAATGAAGGAGTGTGAAGAAGGATACACAGGGAAGAAAGAAGGCAGGAAAAAAGTGGAGAGTCACTCAGGAACTGGAAGGTCGGTCCAGATGGAACCTGAGTCCCTGCTGACCCCTGGGTAGCAGGCATCATCTCTGCTCCTCTGCTCCCCATTTTGGAGACCCGCTCTGCTCCATCGACGCTCCTGGATAAAGTTCTCTCCTTTCTCCCGCTGGCTCCCTGTAGGTTTCTGGTTGGTCATGGCTTCAGCTACTTCAAGGCTTCTACTTGCTGCATTCGGCCTGTGTCTGTTTGTCTCCTCTGTTTATGGGTGCACTTTTCAGTATGTCTCACATTCAGGGAGATGTGATGGCTCACTGTGTCAGTCTTCTGCAGTGCAGGGCTTCCATGCCTCAGGCAGCAGCTGCCTCTGCGGCAGGCTCTCTGTGGCTACCTTTGGCCAGTGGCATCACTAGAGGGGTGCAGGGGTGCGGATGGCACCCCCTGACACTGTCGGAGTGACACCAAAATGACCTCAGGGCTGGTGGCGGCGGGCAGGTGCCGTCAGGGGAGGGGCCGCCATTGCTGTGGCATCACTAGGGTTGGTGTCCCCCGTCACCCAGTGCGGTAACTCGTCACCAACAACCCCCTTCGCCTGTCAGGGTGGCGGCGGCCGGGCTTTGGCGCCTGCAATTGGATGAAGAGGAGGGTCTCTGCCTACTGCCTAGGCCAGTGGGAGAGAGGAGGAGCTGGGGGAGCTGTGCGGGGCGGGGCCAGGAGGGGCGGGGCTGCGCCACTAAGCGCTCCGCCCTGCGTGGGGAGGGGGCTGCTCCGCCCACCAGGGGGGAGTCGCTGGCCAGCCCTGCCCACTCCGGGTGGGGGGTGGGGTTGGGGTGACACGATGAGTCACCGCGCCGTGTGACACCAACCCTAGTGATGCCACTCCCTTTGGCATTAAACTCTGGGACTATCAGCCGTAAATGACCCGGATGGTGGGGTCTGGGGAACAAGGACGGCTCAGAAGGGGTGTGAGCATGCCGGGCTTCTCAGCAGGGAACAGCATACCTGGCAGGTGCCTTACTGTAGTGACTTACTGCCTACTACTCTGCCTCCTCATGTCTTGGAAGAAGTACAACCAGAATGCTCCTTGGAAGCAAGGATGGCGAGACTACATCTTACATACTTTGGGCATGTTTTCAGGAGGGACCAGTCCCTGGAGCGGGACATCATGCTTGGTAAAGTACAGGGTCGGTGCAAAAGAGGAAGACCCTCAAGAGATGGATTGACACAGTGGCTGCAACAGTGGGCTCAAGCATAACGATTGTGAGGATGGTGCAGGACCGGGCAGTGTTTCATTCTGTGGTACACAGGGTCACTGTGAGTCGGAACGGAATGGATGGCACCTAACAACAACCACTCCCTCAACACTCCCTTAGAGCCAGCTTTGCTTCTACTTGTGCTTCCTCACCTTCGTGCCTTTGCACGTGCCATATCCCTGACCTGCCTGTCCAAATGCTGCCTGTCCTTGGAGGCCCTTCTCAGCTTTTCAAGCCCACAGTCTTAGTCTAGCTATGGGAAAATCTATACTTTTGTATAAATATACATGTAACAAAACATTTGACATTTCAACAATCTTCACGTGTACAGTTCAATGACATTAATTATGTTCATCTTGTTCAACTATCACCCTTACCCGTTTCTAAATTATATCTCATCACCCTTAACAGAAGCTCAGTATCCCTTAAGCACTGAGTCCTCCTTTCCCCCTTGGTCCTATACTTTTTAAATAGCAATTAAGCATGAACCTGTGTAACTGCTCCTGTGTTGTCGTTTTGAAAGTTTTATTTTTCCCATCTAACTGAGCTGCTTTACAGAACTTGATACAATGTAGATACTTGATAGATGTTTGGGGATAGAATAACAATAGTGGTATCTTTGTTTTAATATGTGCTTTTAAAAACTTGTGGTTTTATCATAAGCTCTCTCTGAGGTCACTCTCCACGTGGCAAATGAGGAAAGTGGGTCTAGGTGGGTTATGTGATTGCCCAAGATCATTATAGCAAAGCCAGGACTTTTCACTAGAAAATAAACAAGATTTGTGTTTTCCTACTGTCTCACTGTACACTGTTATCCCACCCCACCCACTGAAGGGGACTGTGGCATGGATAACCAAAATGAAGACAGTTCAGATCAGGGAGCCAAGTCTCCAGAACAAGGCATCATAAATTTCTCATGTGATCAAGAACCCCTTCTTTGGGAGCCATGAGGATTGGGCCTCATGGGCCAGTGTTCTGTGCTTCCTCCTGGCTTTTCTCTTAGTGGTGTGGGCACTCAGACCCCATACCTCTGATAGGGTCGTTGCTGTGTCTGAGCACTTGGGCAAGTATAATGGGAATGTAGGTGAGAGTGTACTTGAATTTCAGTTCTTTTACAAAGATAACTAAAAAACAGGCCATTTCGAAAACAAGATGAACTGTTAAATCACAAAAGCTCACACTGAACTCTGAGCACTAACTGTTTTTAGAAATAATAGCAAGGCAGTTGATATAGTAATATTAGTTAATCAACTTTTTTTTGCTGGGTAACTGAGGGGTTAAAAAGATAAAGTAATGGTCCTCAGCATGGTTAGGATGTTGACCGTCTTTGGAAAGTGGCTTAAAAAGAATGTTGTCTGAAGCTTCCTGGTGTTCCTGCAATCACATCTTACAAACTCGTTAGCAATCTGTTTATCTTGAGGTTTTTAAGTCACAGGTGCCCGGGCACACTAGTGTACCATGAGCTTCTCTCAGGGCAGCTGGTGATCAGTGTGTGCAGTTTATTATTGTGAATGTAAAACACATTAGGTTATTTAATTTGTCATAAGGTAGGTGGAACTTAGTACCTAGATTACATAACAAGGGGTAGAGTGGGGCCCAGTGTTCAGGTTAGACGATCACATCAAGGCCATGCCAAAGAGTCATCAGGCACTTTCTGGAACACGTGAGGACTGTGTCTTATCAGAGAATAGTCAGGGCAATAATAGGTCCCTGAATAGTGCAGTGAGTAGGGAAGCTTCTACTGATGCTACAGCACACTTAAACTAGAATGGTGATTGTGTTACAATAATCACTGACAAATTCATTGTTTTGTGTCTTCTAATCCTTTCTAATACCTTGCCAAAAATCCTAGTATTTGAAAGTGTGCCGTGCAGAAAGAAAACGATTAGCAATCTAAATTAGCACGTCTCACACTGTGAGTTTTGAAATCAATTCACTTAGCTATAACCAGCATTTTTAAAAACTGAAATAGCAAAGAAAGAAATACCAGAGTGTATTACATGTAGTAAGGGTAAGTATTATATTGTGAAACATTTGTTATTTAAATATATAAGTATCTGTATACAAAGTCATGATGTAAAATATATTTCTTACTATGGGTAACAGGCAAAGGAGTTTGAAAATCATAAATCTAAATCTTTCTTCAGGAGCCGTGGTGGTGCAGTGGCTAAGTGCTCGGCTGCTAACCGAAAGGTCAGTGGTTCAAACCCACCAGCCGCTTCTCGGGAGAAAGATGTAGCGGTCTGTTTCTGTAAAGATTTACAGCCTTGGAAACCCTATGGGGCAGTTCTACTTGTCCTGTAGGGTCAGTCAGTCAGCCTCTGCCACTCTTTGCAGCACAGGTTCCTAAATTTAATACCGAGTGTAATATGACACTTTTTAAATGTATTTGCTGTATATTTATTTACTTTGAAACTTCAGACTGCATTTTTCTTACCTGTAGCTACTTGACAACTCTTATGTCACCTTGTCTAACCCAATTTAGAATTAAAATGGTCTAAGTGTGGATTAACTAATTACAGGCTGGGCATCAATAAAAGTAACATAGTCTTGATGTTAGATTTTTTTTTTTTAAAGGCAGAGATTCTGCTAAAACCACCTTGTCCTACATGGGCAGAATGCTTAGTATTCTGAGTAGCCTAAGTATTTTAAACAGGACTGCTAAGTGCCTGACTTGCACTGCTCAGGCCAAAGCAGTTGGGAGGGAAGGCCATAAAACAAGAGAATTCATTTTTTTAACAGAAGTTTGGTGCTCTAGAAGAGTAAGGACTAGAACGTAGAAATCGGAAACCACTCAGCGACCAGCAGACTCTTCTAGCCAGGAAGAAGCCAAATGGGAAGGGCTTTGAAAGCGTCTGACACCACCTGCATTTCCCTCTCCTGAATGCCTTATCTCGTGGGTGGGGAGATCCAGGTTTGCTTACAGGGGTTGCCGTGGTGAGACTTGCTGAAGTGTTTGTGTCTGCCTGAAATTTATCTTAGAGCTGCACAGCTGCCCACTTGGTTGTGAGAAGAGGAGGAACAAACTGGAGGTTACTCCAGACTATTCCAGATGCCCTTATCTTATTCTAGGTGGTAACATTAACACCAAAAGTGCTGAAGTACACATCAAGTGTACAGAAATATTCAGTGGAGAAAATCTGATGTAACTAGAGTAACAAAGCATTTTATAATAGAATTTTAATTGGCCCTATGGAAAAGAAAATTTTCAAATTATGTAAGTAGCAACATTTGTGGTTATTTTAGGACTTGGTGGTTACCACTTTAGAAATCTGCCTCAGGCCACAGACCTAAGAAATAGAAGAGCCAATCATCTGACTGGCAGGCCACGCACCTTCCTGCCGTCTGTCACGGGGGTGAGGCCCAATATAAACAAGTACAAATGTGGTGGCAAGTAGGTGCAGAAACCTTGATGAACATTTATCTTCCTACTTTGGTTGGATATGTTTATGGTGTTCACAGAATTAAGGGTATTCACAAAATTGGATTAAGAAGTAAATTAAAGTTGTAATTTTATATTCTGTTTTTACAAGTGCTTTTTTTCTGTATTATCCATGGACTTGTTTGGGATTCTAATATTCCATGGGATTTTCAAGGTCCACCAGTTTTCACTGTTAGTGAAGAGGGCGTAGGGGGTTTGTCTTTTCAAAGGAGTATGTCCCAGACTGCTATGAAGCCAGCAAAGATCTGATTTTTCAATAAAGTTTAAACTGAGCTATTTTCCCAAAAAGGTTCCCTGACTCCCTTTATATCTGTCAACCACTGAAATAATTAACTTTTCCAAAGTGCAGGCAAGGAAGTAACCTATTAATGATTTGTTTATTCTGAAAAATTGTGATCTGAGTTTTGGATGAGAACTTATAAAGACTCAGGAATGAGTTGAAATAAAAGCTGAGTTCAGTCTAGGATCTTAAAAAAAGATTATTGCCCTTTTTATTAAGGGACTAAAACATACTTATTTTAGAATATTGGTAAAGAAGAGAAGAACTTTTCACATTAAAACAAAACAATGACAACAAAAAACTCTCTTAACCCTAAAATCCTATCTTGTGTCATGTTGGTATTAACGATGGCCGAGGATGAGTTAACTCATGCCATCAAAAATTAGACTCTATTCAATAGGATTACATTTCTAAATAATTGTTGCAATTTTTATTTTTCTGATCCAGATGAAGAACTAGTACTGGATGGCAGTTTTGACCAAGACCTAAAAAACTATCACAGACTCCACTGGGAAACAGAATTCAAACCTGTGGCACAGCAGCTTCTAAATCGAATTCAGAGTCATCACACCTTCCTGGAACCCCTGCCCATTCCTTCTTTTTAACATGAGGTAGATTAACAACAGAAACAGGAAGTCAGGTCTCCTTCATTCTTAAAAAGCAATAATAAATGTGAATGTTTTTTTTTTCAGTATTAACCGATATTGAAAAGTTTTCCAGGTACTGATTTTAGTCTGTAGCTAAGTATTTTTAAAGAAAAAAAGCATTTCCCTTTGTTAGCTATTATGGAAAAATGAATATACAACGTGTTATTCTTTCTACTATGAGAAATGTAAGTTGAAAATATATGCAGTTTTTCTAAGCAAGTACCTTTTTCTTCTATTCTCTGTTAAATAATTTAGTTTTAGTCTTAAAATCCTGGTTTAACAATTCTGGAATTTAAGTGGTGGTCAGTTCATTAGTTAAGTGAACTGTGCAATGTAGACCATTAGACTTTGTATATAAAAAGAATGGTGGTCAATGCAGATGGAGCACATTACAATAGAAGCACATGTACTAATTCTTACTACATCTATAATAAATTTTCTGAGTAAGTAGTGGTATTTTTCTGATTCTCATATTAAAAGGAGTAAGCAGGGTAAGTTAAAGAGAAAACTGCTTTGGGCCATCTACTCTTTATTAAATAATAAGTAATATTATTTTATTATTTGAAATAAAATGTCTGGAGCAGACAGTCCCTTCTAATTGTAACTCTCTCTGACTAGGGAAGTGATGTAATGTATTGGAAAGAATGTAGTTATAGGTGTATGGCAGAATTGTTTGAATCCTAGTTCTCCCCTGCTAGCGGAGGACCTGGGGCATGTAACTTAATTTCTTGAGCTTCAACTGTAAAACGGAAATAATGCCTACTTTCTTAAAAGTGTGGTCTAGAACAAATCGTTAAAAGAGCAAATTGCCCAGTACAATGTCCGATGTGTAGTGGGTACTCAATACATTATGATGGCAATTAGTTTATTGGTTTGTTATTCTTTGTAGGACAGGCATGGCCCTTGAATGAATGATAAAAAAACCAAAGAAATTGAGATTACTGTTGTTACACTAGACAAATGAAGGAGACCTGGAAAAAAGAGCAAATGTACTACTCTGATTGGAGAAAAGCTGTAATTAACGGCACATCTCTCATCCTACAAAATACCAAGACTCAGGGGATGAGGGCAGGCAGCACAGACTGGACTGGCTTTTGGAGCCTATTAGAACAACCTAAAATTTCCAGAAACAAACAGACTTTCCAATGGCTCTTCCAATCTGAAGCTCATCCCTGGTTAGGGATCAGCAAGATCCTGTAGGGAGATTCACGTTATTGTCATCTATCTATTCATGAGTATATGCTAGTAGATGCATTGCACTAGATGAAATCAGTTGAAGTCTGAGGGGTTAGTCTCTCCAAAATTTTTAAGGATCTTTTTTTTAATCCATACCAGGCTATATATTTTACTTGCTGTGAAGAAGGGCAAACTTCTTCCCCCTAAAACAGCCCCCTCAAAATTTATAACTAATATATAACTTATGTTAGGATACCATCATACTTGCTCTTCTCCATACTACATCACTCCTATGGTGAAGTGAGTTCCTTTATGTGGCCTTTTGCCTTGGTTATTTGGAAAACAGCTTGAGCGATTTTTCCCCTAAGCCCTGAGGAGTTACCTTTGCTCTAGTTTTCTACCCTAGAGGGCTTACTTTTGTCCAGGTTGATTGACATTTCCTGGGTAAGCTGTAAACAGCTTGGTTTGATACTTTTTGCCTGGCCCTGGGCTGCACTCTGCCCTGTGATTGGTATACAACTTGCAGGGTTTGGTCAATAGACTATGCAAATGAGGTGAGATGTAGCCTACTATGCAAACGAAGTGTGTGGCCTACTGAGAGGGGATTGGTCAGTTTGTGACCCCTCGTGGGCGTGCCATGCCTTGAAATTGACAAAGAGTTTGTGTATTTAAGCAGCGTGTATTTAAGCAGCCATCCCCACAGAGGTTTTTGTGAAAGCAGCAGCAGGAAGAAGCAAAAAGAAGAAAGAAGAGAGAAGCAGAGAAAGAGGAGGCAAGGAGCCTCCTAAAAGAGCTTTAACAAAAGACAAGGGATGTTTAACACTGAAGATGGCACAGGCCAGGGAGGGGGCCAGTGGCAGAGCCAATGGTGACAGACGGCAGGGCCAAGAAGCACCTGCCCTCGGGGCCGAGAGGAGGCATACAAGGTCGAGAGGAGCTGAGAGAGCTGTTCTGCACTGAAGAAGGGAGACTTTGCCTGCAAGCTTCCTGATCTTGAGTTGTACCCTGTTCCTTAATAAACCACTTAACTATAAGTATGATCTGGGAGTTCTGTGTGGCCATTGCAATGGAATATCAAACCCAGAAGAGAAGTAGAGAGTGCCTTGGGAAGGACAGTTGGTGTCAGAATTGGTAAAAAGGTTGGAGAGTGGAGGCATGTCTGACTTAGACCTCACAGGGATCAGCCTTAGGCTGAACTTGATTTGCATTATCCTTCCTGAAGTTAGACAGGTTCTGATGCTACTGTTACTGCTACTTCCACCCTTTTACACCTTTCCTGCAGACTCACGTGTGCGCTGAACAAGTTGGAACCATCTACCTGCTTTTTGCTATCCCTTGATATTCACGCATACTCAAAAGGTGCTAATAAACTTTCAGAGTACCTTAATGATGGGAAACATGCTTATCCAACAAGTTTTATTTATCTACTTATCAATTGTTTGTATCAAAACTAATTTGAAATAGCTAAACTATTAGAAGAATAAAAACCCCATTGGCTTTTAAACTGAAGTTAAAAAGCATCACTACCTTTTGTATGGAGAAGTTAAACCTAAATAACTGTGGTGAATATACAAGTGTTTGGAATTTAATCTCATTTTTATAGTAAGAGCTACTCAATTAAGTTTAGCCTAATATAAAAGTTCCCCAAATTTCACCAGAAACCTCAGCTTTTAAAAATCAAATCCTGGGAACCTTAACCAGAAATCTTTTCATGATTATTTAAGAAAAATTTTTCCTCTGGTTGGGGAGGGTTTTGATATCCTGTAGAATATTCTACTTTACCTTTCCCAATTATTTTGGAAACTATTAATTTCAGAGATTATCATAACATTAGAAATCCTGTGTGCTTAGTTTTGGAAAAATGTTCTAACAGGAAGCACCTGTTAAATGAGAGGCGTTGAAACATCAACTTTGTATCACAGGCATGCCTTTTATTACTTTAGGTATAAGAACACTTTTCTACTCATTAAAATCTTCAATTTTCAATGTTTGATTTCTAAGTGGTTATAAGCTTCAATGAAGTAAGAAAATAAATTGTAGTTGATCTCGTTTTGTGATCACCATACTGCTGATTAGAACCTCTACTAGAAATTTTGTATTTTGAATGGGAGGCACAAACAGCAGAAGCAGAATGAGTAAAATTTTAAATACATCCAGTGCAACCTTAGTTGTTAGGTTCACCTGTATTACTACAATGAGATAACTCAGCAGACAGGAATGGGGAAGGCATGATGCAAATTCAATGTGTAGGACCACTGTAAGCTAACAAAAGTCTGTAGACTAGATCTGGGGAAGAGAGCCATTTTGGTTAATCTAATAGAAGTATATATTTCTTTAAAAGAATATTAAAGATAGTAATAATTTATTTTTAAGGTTTCATTGGTGGTTCAGTGGTAGAAGTCTCACTTTCCATGAGGGAGACCTGGGTTCAATTCTTGGCCAATGCACCTCATGTGCGGCCACTATCTGTTTGTCAGTGGAGGCTTCCGTGTTGCTATGATGCTTAACAGGTTTCAATGGAACTTCCAGACTAAGGTGGACTAGGAAGAAAAGCCTGGACATCTGCTTCCAAAAATCAGCCAGTGAAAACTCTATGGATAAGAACAGTCTGATCCACAACTGATCATGGGATGGGGATGGGGATGGTGCAGGACCAGGGCAGTGTTTCCCTCTGTTGTGCATGGGGTCACCATGAGTCGGAGCCGACTTGATGGCACTTAACAACATCTAAGGTGATAAACAGTCTTATCTCTTCGCACTAGGGTAGATATCCTTGAGGGCAGGTACCACCTCTAGTCAAAATTGTGCCCCCCCCCCCACCATGCTCTCAACACACATGATAAATTTGTAGGTTCTAGATTGAGCTCAATGTTTTGATGAGTAAACAGTTATTAAAACATCTTGGATTAAATATAGAGCTATTTCTAGTAGTTGCACAGTCATTTTTTTTTTACTTTATAGTCTCTCCCTAATGAGTCCTTGTTTCTAATAATTCTATTTGAACTCTAAAACTATCTCAATTCAAAATGGACTAGGCAGGGACACCATTTTAACAGTCATTTCCAAAATAAAAATGGTCTCAGATAAGATCCTGAAAGTCCACTCCTCTTTGGATCTTCCAAAATGGCTGAGTTTCACATTTAATTTCAGTCTTTCATCTGATAATAGCATCACTTAAGTGTGAATTTACTTGCTTTATAAAAGTAAATACAGATTCAGAATTGTTATTGATTGTTAAGTCCTGGTTTTTTAAGGGATTGAGACAACAAATAAAAAATGGAGAAAAATTATTCTTTATTGAAAAATACCAGTAATACTGACAGACTTCAAAAGCAATTCACGCTTCCAGAATACAAAGTACTTAATTTTTTTCAAACCTGTTTGCATTTCAAACAAATTAGCATTTTTCTATATCCAATTTGATAACCTGACTAAAAATATTTTCCAGCTTTATTATTTAAGGAGCTGCACAACCTTTAAAGTGGGGACCATGGAGGTGGGCAGGACCAGAGGGCTAGGATGCACCTGGGACTGCGCAGCAGTCTACAGAAACATTTCCACAACTTTGGTGCTAGAGACAAAAATACTGCACAAGACAGCTGCCCTCCAGTGTCAGAGAATCTCAGGAAACAGTATATCAAAAGATAGCTAGCTTTCTTATAATTTACACACTTTCATTTAAGATTGCTTTTTAAAGAAAATCTTTAAGAACATCACTGCAATTTAATATCATCCAATAACTCTGAATTTTAAAAAACAACTAGAGTGAAAGAAGTGAACTGTTACCATCGAAATGGTCTTTGCTGAGCTGTGAGTAATATTTCTGTGCTTTTTTAGATGCAAAAAAAAAAATAACACATATGCAAAGTTTAATTTGAAACCACACAAATTATGTATGTAGGCTCAGATAGTAGCAGTGTTCACTTTTATTACTAATAGCTTAATTGGAACAGCCATTCTATTCATTCCACCAGCAGGAATAGCAGCACCAAGATCTTCTAAAATCTTTATGTATAAAGCTTATGTCATTATCCAAGTCCCATTCTTTGCATGCTCCAATTGTTGTTACCTTATTTAACATAAAAGCAACAGGATTTGGAGAGTTACTATTCGCTGTATTAAAACAGTTATACAGCATCTTGTACTGTCAAAAAGCAAAATACTGTGAACGGCAGCCCTTCTTCACAGCTCTAACTTTGAAGCTGCCAAGCATTCACTGCTCATGCCAGCAGCGGCATTTCCACAGTAAAATAGCAGAAACTAAAGGAATCATGGCACAATGGATTCTGAATTCTTTTATCTACCATTGGTCCTGGGGCTTAGTACCTTCCCCTTGTAGACTATATCTGCTGATCATTCCGTCATCTTTAATGGAGGAAAGATATCAGGTCATATAGCGGGTAATGGCTCTCAGAGCATAAAGCAGTTCTGCTTGCATCCTAGCTTCTATAAGAAGCAGATTAACATGAACCTGAATATAAAACACAAGAGCATATAAAGCAGGATTATAAGCATTCAGAATCACAGTTTTTCAGTGCATCTAATAAACACCAAAAATAAGTAAATTTTCAATGTGTCACTGAATAACTTAGACAAAAATCTTGGGCTTGTTTAATAGAATATCAGTATCTCAATAAAATAAAAGCTACCTGACATTCTTTTTGGATAGATGTTTTGAGCTTTCATTTCTATTTGATCACATTTCTTCTTGAAGGTTTGTTAAAATTTAGAAAATGCAGACGCTGCTTTATCAGAATACCAAATCCCCCCACCTAATCATCATTTAGTAATTTCTGTAAAGATGTTTCAAAGAGACTAGACATTTCTAGCTATATACAATTAAAAAGATCTCTTGCAAAGCATTCTTCTTTCTCCTAAATGGTGACAGCCATGCCAACACCTCTCAAGATGGCCCAGCCCACCTGTCTTGTCTGTCTGTATTCTTTCACTCTATCATCATAATGAAGTTCCCTCCCAAGGAATATCTGACACAATTGTCCTGGAATGTTCTTCTCTGGGTTGGTAGGGGTGATGGAGAGGGTTTGAGAGCCATTAAGGTAGGTGAAGGAGAATAAAAATTACTACTGGCTTACAGACTAAACAAGCCACAATAGGCACGTACCTTCTCAGAGTGCTTGAACTGCCTCCAGAAGCTATCATACATTCTTTTGGTAACCTTTTCAGGAGTGCAAACAATGGTTTTGATATAAACTTTAAAGCTACGATCCAATAGCTGGTTAATTTCACCATAGTCATAGTCATCATATCTGTTTTAAAATACAAATTGAGAATTATATTTTTAGTGCATAGTTTGTTTTCTTACGAAAGTAGAGATGTCAGTAAGTGCTCTATTCTTCTACCCTCCTGGTGTAGGCAGCTGTTCCCCCAAATGA